ATTACCAGAAAAGCTTTGAAATACTGATTGCAGATTCATTTCAAAGTAGATTTAACCCCTTTCAGGATCTGGTGTTTAAATCACGAATGTTTTCACCAACTTCAACTCTGAAAAATATAAAAATTTTAGCCAGTGCTGGCTATAGTTAAACAGTACTGGTATTACTTGAAAAAATAAAAATAAAAAATATATTGTCAATCATGCATTCCACAATTTTTTTTGAGCTCGATAGTATATTTATATTTTTCTCATTAAATGTTCAAAACCAAAAGCGGTTTCTCCTTGCAGCAAATACACATTAAAATACAGTCTCTGTACAACCAAGGGCTCTGGGCCCTGGCTTGCCCCATGTCCCTGTGCCTCCTGGGTCAAACCCAAAAATAAATATAGTGTTATTGCTCTGCAGGGCATAGAGGCAGTGCTCTCCTATCCCCTGAGGAGGCTGGGTGGGAGCTGATGGGGAAGACTTGGCCACCCCAGGGGTCCAGGGGCTGGAGCCTGCTTGGAGTTATTGCTTCAAGGGGGGGCACTAATGCCCAATGCAAATGATGAGAGGAGGAGCAAAGGGAGCATGGGCCTTTGCTCTCCAAGTCCCACTCTGCTCTGAAGAGAGGGTAGGATTAAGCAGCAGCAAAAGCATCACCCACTGGGAGACTGTGGCCTCCATCCCCTTCCCTCCCTGAGATAGGCTTCTGCCTCCTACACATCTCCTGCAGCCCCCTATGGCTTCTGCAAGGCCCCCTACGCTCTGGGGGCACGTTATGGCTTGCAAGGGGCAGCACCGTGCCCAGAGCCTGGACACATGTTCCCAGCTTCTGACAGCCCCTAGGAGGGGCGAGGGGAGGGAGTGGGACCTGCTCCCAGTGGCTGATGGCATTGCCCTGGCCCTCCCAGCAGGTTGTGGCACTGCCCAGACCCCAGCTCTGCCCCTATCCTTGGGGTTGACCCCACGCTAGGCAGGTCCTGCCAGAGCCCCCACCAATCCCACCTCTTGCTCAGTCCATCATGGCCTCGAGCATCTCCAAGAACAGCTTGTGCACGGGCACCTTGACCTCCAGCTTCACCCCATAGAAATGGGCCAGCACTTTGCCCACTGTCTGGCGGAGGAGCGGTAGCGTGAGCAGCAGCCTGCCTGCCCGGCACGGCTCAGCACCCTCTCCGGTGCCAGCCCGGCCAGCTTCGTACTCCAGCAGGGCCTCGTGCAGAGCTTCCAGCAGCTGCTCCACAGCCTCGGCATCTTCGATGTGCACACAGCTTGAACTGGCAAGGGCCAGTGCCTTCAGTAGAACATACTCCTCTCCCTCCAGCCGCAGGGCCTGCAGCCTCCGCACCAGTTGCAGCAGGGCAGACCCCCGTTCCCCCAGTCCAGCTGCCCGTGCCCCCTCTTCATCCAGGATTAAGTCCTCAGCGAAGGCCAGCTCATCCTGCAGTGGCAGTGAGAGCTGGGCCACACCCGGCACCAGCAACTCCATCCACAGGCTCTGCAGTCCTGACATCTGGTCAGACAGCGACAGCAATGAGAAGCCTGGGATGCTCTTGGCCCAGCTGATGGTGACCACGATCTCTCAGTCAAAGAGGTCACAGAGGGTAGCCACGGCTGGGAGGTGCCCATCAGGGCCAGCAGGGTCAGGCATGGCATAGAGCTTCTCAGGCTCAACCACCAGCAGATGAGACACCAGCACATTGACTGGGGCTGTCTTCCGGGGGCCTCCAGCAACTGCCAGGGGCCCAGCAGGGAAGGGGCCCGGAAAGGGCAGCAGATCCACCTCTGGCCGCTGCTTGTACTTCTGCCACTCGCCTCGGACGCGGTCCAGGCGCACTCCCGCAGGCACTTGATGAAGCGGCAGGCCTGGCAGGCCTTGTGTCTCTCCTTGGTGATCTCACACTCGTTGGATGCCGGACAGCTGTACTCGATGCTCCCCTGGATGGTCCTCTTGAAGAGGGCTTTGCAGTTCTCACAGGATGCCACACCGTAGTGGTAGCCGGAGGCCACGTCCCCACAGACCAGGCAGAGGCCCTTGGGCAGGGAGCTGAGCACCAGCTTCCCACCGCCCTGTTTGCCATGCCCAGCCTCCTCTTCCTTGTGGCCTGGGAAGCAGCGGGTGGGAGCTGGACCGGGGGCCAGGGCCACAGGAGGCTCTGGTCTCCGTCTCCGAGGAGCCCTTCGGACTGTCAGGCCTGGCTGGTTCTGCCATGATGTACAGAGGCTCACTGCCCACCACCTGGCTGGACATTGTTAGGCAGGGACCCGGACCCGACATGGCGGCGCCACTCGGAGTAGCGGGCCCTTTGTTCCAGCAGGCCCTTTGTTTCGAGACTTCCCTCCCTCTTTGAACACACCCTCAGACTTATATACATCAGAGGTTCCAGCTGGGCAGCCACACTCCCCCATGACCTGCAGCTCACCTGCATTCTATAAGTTGGTAAACAGCAGTTTCGGTGTTCCTCGTGACCCTTACTCAACTCCTGCCCTAGTAGTTTCAAGACCCCCCAGGCCCTGTTTGCACAACCAGCTTCCCTGCCTCTGGGGATGTAAGAAGCCCCTACCCTCCTCCCTCAGCGCGACTTCCCCGGCCCACGCCTTTGGGCACAGGAACCTCGCCCGCAAGCCCTAATAAAAGCTGTTCTCACTGCCATTTGCCTTGTGTCTTCGTTCCCGGCTCGGCTCCAGCCTCAGTTTACCCTTCCAGACATGGCGCTGGTCACCTGACACGCGGCTGCCCTCCTGCCCCAGCAGGCCGATGATCCCAGGCACAAGGCGGGCGCCGCTCCACCTCCTCATGCCCGGCCTGCAGGTCCACTCTTACACTCCCGCTGTGGCAGAGGCTGCCACCCGCCGCACCCAGCCCCCAGCCTGGCACACCTTCGGGAAGCTGCCTAAAGTTGCCAGGCCTCCCCCCAGCCCCGACGCCCGCCGGAGAGCTCTGCCAGGTTATCAGGAAGTAAGTGGTCGGAGAGCCAGGGAACAGGAAGTTCCCCCTGCCCTTGTGATGACCTTTGACCCAGAGGGGAGGGCGGCCCCAGGCCCCCTCGAGCGCCCCCACGCAGTCTTCAGAGCCGCTTCCCCGACGTAGAGCCCTCCCCGTCTTCCACCCCCGGGACTTCGGCAAGCGCGGGATGGAAACCTGCCCCGGGCGGGCTGGATCGGAGGCCCAACACGGACCCGGGCCTGGACCCGCAGCCAGAGCCAGATCCTGCCCCAGGCCGGCCCACCAGGACTCGGACGCGGGATCTCGCCGGAACCCTGACCAGTCCGGCCCTCGACTAGGTCCCGACCGTGCCCCAGCCTGGCCCCAGAGCCGGACCCCGCCTGCAGCCCGCCCGCCTCCCTGCTCCGCATCCCACAATTTCAAGAACTAAGCGGCCAGGCGCGGTGGCTTGGGCCTGTCATTCCAGCACTTTGGGAGGCCGAGGCGGGCGGATCACGAGGTCAGGAGGTCGAGACCATCCTGGTTAACACAATGAAACTCCGTCTCTACTAAAAATACACACACACACACACAAACTAGCCGGGCGTGGTGGCGGCGCCTGTAGTCCCAGCTACTCGGGAGGCTGAGACGGGAGAATGGCGTGAACCCGGGAGGCAGAGCTTGCAGTGAGCTGAGATCCGGCCACTGCACTCCAGCCTCGGCAAGAGCGAGACTCCGTCTCAAAAACAAACGAACAAAAAACCCTAAGAGGCCGGGCGCGGTGGCTCATGCCTGTAATCCCAGCACTTTGGGAGGCCGAGGCGGGCGGATCACAAGGTCAGGAGATCGAGACCACGGTGAAACCCCGTCTCTACTAAAAATACAAAAAATTAGCCGGGCGCGGTGGCGGGCGCCTGTAGTCCCAGCTACTCAGGAGGCTGAGGCAGGAGAATGGCGTAAACCCAGGAGGCGGAGCTTGCAGTGAGCCGAGATCGCCCCACTGCACTCCAGCCTGGGCGACAGAGCTAGACTCCGTCTCAAAAAAAAAAAAAAAAAAAAAAAAACCCAAAGATATAACTTATAAATATTGTTATGTCTTTGCAGATTATCCCAACTTCCATCAGGCCTCAGCTGAAAACTCATCTGCAAAACGCATCAGCACTCATGTAAAAAGGAGTAGGGAGGTGACTTTGTACACAAACTGTCCAGTGTTTGGCTTCCAGTTTCCCTCTTGTGGGTAACTATTCTAGGTATGACTCCTTGAGCATGAAATGAGGGGTAGATAGAACAGCACAGCGTTGGGCTAACAAGAATTAGTGTGTAGACTGGGTGCAGTGGCTCACACCTGTAGTCCCAGCACTTTGGGAGGCCAAGGCAGGAGGATCACCTGTGGTCAGGAGTTCAAGACCAGCCTGGCCAACATGGTGAAACCCCCATCTCTATTAAACATACTATTAGCTCTCTATTAAAAATACAAACATTAGGCCGGGTGTGGTGGCTCACGCCTGTAATCCCAGCACTTTGGGAGGCTGAGCGGGTGGATCACGGGGTCAGGAGTTCAAGACGAGCCTGGCCAAGATGCTGAAACCCTGTCTCTACTAAAAATAAAAAAAAAAACCTAGCCTGGCGTGGTGGCAGGTGCCTGTAATCCCAGCCACTCGAGAGGCTGAGGCAGAGAACTGATTGAACCCGGGAGGTGGAGCTTGCAGTGAGCCCAGATGGCGCCACTATACTCCAGCCTGGGGAACAGAGCGAGAATCATAAAAAAAAAAAAAAAAAAAAAACAAAAAAAACAAAAATTACCTGGGCGTGGTGGCAGGTGCCTGTAATCCCAGCTACTTGGGAGGCTGGGGCAGGAGAATCACCTGAACCCAGGAGGCGGAGGTTGCAGTGAGCCGAGATTGTGCCATTGCACTCCAGCCTGGGCAACAAGACTAAAACTCCATCTCCAAAAAAAAAAAAAAAAAAAAAATTAATGTTAAAAAGTTTTCTGCTGAATATCTGTTCTGTTCTTAATATAGTTATTCTGTGCAACATATAACCTGTACTACCATTTTTTCTTTATCTATTTGTGGAAATGAGCTCAATAAAATGTGAAATATATGTTAGTTTGCTTTAGATGCAAAGATTAGCTGTTTTTTGCTTAACTGTATCATAACCAAAAAAGTCTATGCCTTGATAATAAAATATGAAAAAGTTCACATATGTACATGGGTACATTCCTTCATTAAAGTTTTTCCTTAATTCTATCTCAATGTGTCTTTACAACGGATACAACTCATCTTTACAACAAAAGTCAGAAAGGACAAAGCAGAATGAGTTCATTTTACAGCACTTTAGGTTTTCTGAAATGTTCCTTTAGGACTTAAAGGACATCATTGAAATGTTGCTTTCCATAGTCTGCAGGATCTATTTGAAGCTCTCGTTCTTCATCATCTTGGATGTCTTCCGATCCACCATCACCAACTTCTTCCTCATTGTAAGCCAGCTCAGCCTGCTCGTCTGCCTCATACTCACCTACGTTACCATCATCCCCATCATAATCCGCCAGTTTAGGGCCATGCTGCAGATCAACAGGGGATTCATTCTCATCAAAGAATCAGCTTTGCTTCAATTTATGGAAATCACTGACTCTATCCTTGCTAGCTCGCTTTAGTGTATCTGTTTGAATTCTGGGTTCACTGTCCGAGTTTGAGCCTGGAATTAAATGCTGAAGAGGACTGGGAGGCTTCTGTTTTGAAGTACCAGGGTTTCCACTGTGGTTTACGTGTGAATCTGGAGGCATATTTGGGGAGAGAGGTTGTCCAGTTGGAAGCTGGGAGATGGCTTGATGACTTCCATGTTGAGAAACTGAAATAGGAGGCTTTCTTAAAGCAGAGGGAAGATCATCAGCTTTTGCTAGGTCATTCTCTTCTATTCCAGGCATCCCTGCATCACCACCTCTTTTGATTTGTTCTTTCCCATGTAGAATATGATTGCTTGAGGGTTCTTCATTCTTATCTGCAACATTCTCAGCTACTTTTGGAATATTTTTAGGTACTACTTGATTGTTTATACCCAATTCTTTTCTGTCATTTGATTGAATCTTGTGGGCCTCTTGCTTTTGTTCCTGTAAAAACTGGTCTGCTAACTTTTTAATATTTTCTTCATGCTGTGCTCTCATTTCCTTGATCTGCTGTTCACACTGAAAACTTTCATATTCTAACCTCTTCACAAGGTAAGTATTGTTCTTCCTATAGTCCTGAAGTTGGTCTTCTTGTGGAAGAAACTCCTGAGGAAGCTCAGCAAGGTGCTCCTTTAAATGAGGTATGTCTGCCATCTGATATGATATGTTGTTCTATAGTTTAACCTTGTCATCCTCGCATCTCTTCCCCAGGCCCTCTCTGACCTGCGGCCGGCTGCTGAGGCGGCCGCAGTCGGCCTCCTTCTGGTGATCTGTTTCTTGTGCGTGTCCACCAACAGCAAGAGGTCCCAATTGCGCTTTTCCAGCCGCCCGCGGGCCACTTCGGTGCGCGGGACCTGGCCCTGCAGCTCGGCCTCCTCCTCCTGAAGCAGGACGTGGCAGAAGAGACGTTCCAGTAGTTGAAGGCGAGGGACGACGATCACTACCAGCAGCACCACCAGCACCAGAGAACGCAGGCCGCTTGGCCCCGAGACCCACCATGAGGCCAAATCGGGCTGTCCCCGAGGGCCTCGCCGCAGACACCTGCAGGCAGAAGCCCAGGCCTCGGCTGCAGTTGCCCCGGGGACACGGCCCCAGGGCCGGCCGGGGGAGGAGGCGGGCTTATCGGTCTCCGGCGAGCCGGGGAAGGGGGTGGGGACGTAAGCCGCAGGTCCCTCGCCGCCCGCTCCTCAAATCAGGCCAAAACGCCTTCCTGAGGCTTTGAACCCCACCCTGAACCTGCCCAAGGGAACAGGGAGAACGCAGCTGCCCGCATCCCGAACCCAACACCTCCGATAGTGTTATTCTTAACAAACCGGTTTCAGGTGTGTCTTTAGTAACTGCCGTCAGGTCAAAAATATTAACTCTTTTCCCCGTGAATATATTTTCCCTAAGTCTAAAAAAAAAAAAACATTTTAATGAATATATTTTAAACTGTCAACAAAAATTATGAGAAGATATCTTAAGTGAAATATTCCATGTAGAAATTAAAAATAATTCCACTGACCCACATCAAAAATCTTAGCTAAATTGCCACATTTTTAGGACTGATAAACTAAAAACAGAAATGTGCACTTGAAGTTTTGCTTCATACTACAACAAATCGGTTAAAGCAATTTAATTTCCAAAATACCTAATTGAAAAGATTAGCTTAATTTGCCATAATTTTTATTTTTTCCCATTTATATTAAGGTTTTAAAAACTCCATATTGTATAGCCGGGCGCGGTGGCTCACGCCTGTAATCCCAGCACTTTGGGAGGCCGAGGCGGGCGGATCACAAGGTCAGGAGATCGAGACCACGGTGAAACCCCGTCTCTACTAAAAAAAAATACAAAAAATTAGCCGGGCGCGGTTGTGGGCGCCTGTAGTCCCAGCTACTCGGGAGGCTGAGGCAGGAGAATGGCGGGAACCCGGGAGGCGGAGCTTGCAGTGAGCTGAGATCCGGCCACTGCACTCCAGCCTGGGCGACAGAGCGAGACTCCGTCTCAAAAAAAAAAAAAAAAAAAAAAAAAAAAACCAAAAAAAACTCCATATTGTGAAAAACTATAAAACTATCCTAAATTAGAAGCTGTTAAAGTCAACGTTTGTCTTTAAGGGCAGAAAACACTGCAATGTTTAATTATAAATCATAATTATAAAAAATTGCATAGGTAAATCACAACATTCTCTTTCATAAAGCAATCATTCTGTAATTTAAAAATAATTATTAACTTTCTTTACATGACTATTTTTAATTAGCTATTGAAGTTAATATCAGAGTTAATAGGTGACATTTTCTTGCACATTTGATAACCTACTGCTTTATGCATCAATTCATATACTTACTTGAATAAATTTACTGGCAGGTTAAAATCCAGTTTATAAACTGGAGGGTTGGCCAGGCAAGGTGGCTCACGCCTGTAATCCCAGCACTTTGTGAGGCCAAGGTGGGTGGATCACCTGAGGTCAGGAGTTCGAGACCAGCCTGGCCAACATGGTAAAACGCCGTGTCTACTAAAAATACGAAACAATTAGCCGGATGTGACGGCGGATGCCTGTAATTCCAGCTGCTCAGGAGGCTGAGGCAAGAGAATCCCTTGAACCCAGGAGGCAGAGGTTGCAGTGAGCTGAGATTGTGCCGCTTCACTCCAGGCTGGGCAGTAAGAGAGAGACACCATCTCAAAAAATAAAAATAAAAAATAAAATAAAGTGGGGGGTTACTTTTAAAAATAATTTTGAGGCCGGGCGTGGTGGCTCATGCCTGTAATTCCAGCACTTTGGGAGGCCAAAGCGGGTGGATCATGAGATCAGGAGTTCAAGACCAGCCTGGCCAGCATGGTGAAACCCTGTCTCTACTAAAAACACACAAAAAATTAACTGGGCATGGTGGCGCATGCCTGTAATCCCAGCCACTTGGGAGGCTGAGTCCCAGCTACTTAGGAGGCTGAGGCAGGAGAATTGCTTGACCCCAGGAGGTGGAATTTGCAGTGAGCTGAGATCATGCCACCGCACTCCAACCTGGGCAACAGAGCAAGACTCCATCTAAAAGAAACAAACAAAAAATTTGAATTCTTGTTTTTTTAATAAAATTACTTCTCTCTAGTAAACAGAAATAACTGGAAAAAATGCAAATACCATATGAATGTTAAATAATGTGATCTCAAATCATATAATCTTTCTTCTAGCTGGTTCCCAAGTTATTTACAAACAAAGACTTTTATGCTCCACAACTCTCTTCACTGCCTGGCCTTCTTCTCCCTCAACCGCACGTCTGGCAAATAGGATGGTGGATTAAAGCAAGTCACAGCAGAGGGCGAATGCCGTGGTAAAGTATTGAATCTCAAAAGAGTAATGTACTATAAAGACAGGGAATGGACATTTGCTGAGCACCTACTATGTACCAGATCTATTCCTCAAGAAAACCATTTAAGCTCGGTTTCAGTTTCAGCATTTTATAGCTGGGGAAACACGTTGATGGAAGTTATAAAAGGTGCCCAGTCACAGAATAGTCAGTGGCAGTGCCAACATTCTGAGGCAGGCCAGTGTGAACTGTCAACCTCCAACAGAAGGAATCAGCCCAGGCCTGGGTTGCCTGGGGGTGTCACCCCAGATCCTGCCCCAGTCATAGCAGGGCGAACAACTTGACGTCTCATCATTTTTCCCCTTACTCCCCTCTAGCTGGCTTTTTAACACATTGAAGGCACAGAAACCCCTTTCCTACTTTAGCTTCTAATTTTAACAATATTAAATATCAAATCTAATATTAAAAATCAAATTATAATGTACCATCCTAACGCAGTTGCACAGAATCATGTCCAAGATGAATGATTCCGTTAAATATTCTCGAGGATTAACTGATTCAGTTAAATATTCTTAACTAAAACTCCAGGAAGACCTCTCCTTTATTCAATAATATGTAACAGATGCTAAATCACTTTAAATTAGCAATTCAAATAATCTTCCACAGTCACCATAACCTCTTGAACTTCCGGTGTTAACTGCTGACCACCTTTTCCAACTTTCTTGTATAAATCAGTAATGTAACACCTGGAAGGAGTTAACTCAAGTTTCTGATTTCACTTAAAACGAATCCACAGAATACATAATGCAGTGAAAACACTGCAGCTGAGAGCATATCTGCTGTAAAGACAAGTTAATTTTTGTCAGACCATGCCCAATACCTGCTTCCTCCTTCCCAGCTATCACTTTCAGGGTTTAAAGGTGAGAAAGAACAGTAACTTGTGGGGAAAAGAAAGAGAGATCAGCCTGTTACTGTGTCTATATAGAAAGAAGTAGACATAAGAGACTCCATTTTGTTCTGTATTTGAGATGCTGTTAATCTGTGACCCTACCCCCAACCTTGTCCTTGCAAGAGACATGTGCTGTGGTTTAATGGATTTTGGGCGTGCAGGGTGTGACTTTGTTCCTAGAAAAGCTAGGTATTGTCCAAGGTTTATCCCCATGTGATAGGATGAAACAATGTTGCTAAAAGGTTTATCTCAAGGCACAGGATTTTCCTTTAAACTTACTCATGTCACAGATCCTTGTTCTTATGTCTTACTGCTAATTTCCTCCCTAAAAATGATCCTATTGTCCTGCCACTCCCTTATCTTTAAGATGGTAAAGATAATTATCTATAAATACTAAGGGAACTCAGAGGCCGGTGCCGGCGTGGGTCCTCTGTAAGCTGAGCGCCGGTCCCCTGGGCCCCCGCTTTTCTTTCTCTATACTTTGTCTCTGTGTCTTATTTCTTTTCTCAAGTCTCTCGTTCCACCTTACGAGAAACACCCACAGGTGTGGAGGGGCAGGCCACCCCTTCATCTGGTGCCCAACGTGGAAGCTTTTCTCTAAGGTGAAGGTACGCTGGAGCGTGGTCATTGAGGACAAGTCGACGAGAGACCCCCGAGTACGTCTACAGTCAGCCTTGCGGTAAGCTTGTGCGCTCGGAAGAACCTAGGGTAACAATGGGGCAAACTAAGAGTAAATATGCCTCTTATCGCAGCTTTATTAAAATTCTCTTAAAAAGAGGGGGAGTTAAAGTCTCTACCAAAATCTAATTACACTATTTCAAACAATAGAGCAGTTTTGTCCATGGTTTCCAGAACAGGGAACTTTAGATCTAAAAGACTGGGAAAAAATTGGCAAAGAATTAAAACAAGCAAGTAGGGAAGGTAAAATCATTCCGCTCACAGTATGGAATGATTGGGTCATTATTAAAGTAGCTTTAGAACCATTTCAAACAGAAGAAGATAGCGTTCCAATTTCTGATGTCCCTAAAAGCTGTGCAGTAGATTGTGAAAAAGAGGCAGGGATAGAATCCCGGAAAGGAAAGGAAAGTTCACACTGTGAATGTGTATCAGAGCCGGCTATGGCTCGGTCAACGCAAAATGTTGACAATAATCAATTACAGGAGGTAGTATATCCTGAAACGTTAAAATTAGAAGAAAAAAATCCAGAATTAGCAGAGCCATCAGAGTCTAAACCACGATGGCCAACTCCTCTTCCAGCAGCTCAAATGCCTGTAACTTTACAACCTCAAATGCAGGTTAAACAAGTACAAACTCCAAAAGAAGATCAAATAGAAAAAGATAGAGTTTCTGTCATGGCAATGCCATTCCAAATGCAGTGTCCACAATATCAGCCGGTAGAAGATAAGACCCAGCCGCCAGTAGCCTATCAATACTGGCTGCCAGCCGAACTGCGGTATCGGTTGCCCCCAGAAAATCTGTGTGGACAGCCAGGAACATTTCCAGCGCCACAGGGCAGGGTGCCATATCCTCAACCGCCCACCATGAGACTTAATCCTACAGCACTGCCTAGTACACAGGGTAGTGCGTTACATAAAATTATTGATGAGGCAAGAAAACATGGAGATATTGAGGCGTGGCAATTCCCAGTAATATTAGAAGCAAGACCACCTGGAGAAGGGGCCCAAGAGGGAGAGCTTCCCGTAGCTGAAGCCAGATATAAGTCTTTTTCTATAAAAATGCTAAAAGAAATGAAAGAAGGAGTAAAACAGTATGGACCCAACTCTCCTTACATGAGAACATTATTAGATTCCATTGCTCATGGACATAGACTCATTCCTTATGATTGGGAGATTCTGGCAAAATCCTCACTCTCACCCTCTCAATTTTTACAATTTAAGACTTGGTGGATTGATGGGGCACAAGTACAGGTCCGAAAAAATAGGACTGCCAATCCTCCAATTGACATAGATGCAGATCAACTATTAGGAATAGGTCAAAATTGGAGCACTGTGGACCAACAAGTAATAATGCCAAATGAGGCCATTGAGCAAATCAGGGCTATCTGCCTTAGGGCCTGGGAGAAAATCCAAGACCCAGGAACCGCCTGCCCCTCCTTTAATACAATAAGACAAGGCTCTAAAGAGCCCTACCCTGATTTTGTAGCAA